TCCCATCAGATTTCACAGTCCAATTCGACTTATGGTATTCCATCATCTCCACTCATCCATCCACGCGCAGCCAACCGATTCAACGACTTTGTAAGTGACTGAGGGTTAAATCGTCCGCTCATCCGTCCATTACCGACCATGCTCTGCCTACGACTAACAGAAGCGCTCTTGCTTACAACCATATCAAATGAAAAGCCTTCGTCCTCGGTATACTCGGCAGCAGAATAATGACCGATTAACGGTAATGACCTGTCCTCGCGATCAGATAAAATAACATCGAGAATGTCGTCCTCGTTTTCCTCGTTGCCATACGCCTCTGAAACCGCGTGAATTCGGATAGTCTTCATCTCTGTGAACTTGCAGCGTGATATGCGTAATCACCCCAAAGTTTCCAGGACTCCCACCCAACACGGCATAAAATAAATCCTTATCTTGTTCAAAGTCGTGGGAAACCCAACGTGGTTCGCCATCGGCGGTGATAATACGGAATGATCTGCGAAAAGGCCGAAACTTCTGCCCCTCCAGTTTGGACATGTCTACCCACATGGACGTATTGGCATTGACCATGTAGCAAGAATCGTCTCTTTCCCCGAGGTTTTTATTGAAATCGTCCAACGAGATGCTAATACCGAATGTCACTATCGTGCAATCATCATCCTCCCATTCAAAATCCTGATACGTCTCGGATACATCGAGTTGAATGTTATCGCCATTAGTGGATGACGCGCCGCTGTATTGATGGCCTCCTGTGCACACGGCCACAGCGATGTTGTTTTCTTTCGCATACTTGATGGCTTTGATCACATCGTCGTCGCTGCCTTTATAATGGCCGCCGGGTGAATAATTCCCTGTTTCAGGTGCGAGCTCGAGGCATACTGATAGCTCTGAGCCTCGTAGTCAGCGTCACTGCGTAAGTTACCTTCCCATGGAGTTTGGGGAAATTGCCGTGTCAGCCATGTATGATTGTTGTTCGGTCTAATCATATTAATATAAGACTTCATAACGACTGATACTGATCTTGATTGGTCACAGTTGAGGATGCAA